TCAGCCTCAGGAGAGCATTGTTATCTGAACTTGTGTTCATATTCTTAAAATAACATGGCTCAGTGGATAAGAGCTCTTACTGCATCTAGTTTCAATGTTTTTAAAATAAATATTTATTTTCTTTACTTTGAGTGTATTAATGTACGTCTCCATGGATGCATATGTACCACATCTGTTCCTGATACCTAAGAAGGGCAGAAGAAGATATTGGAACTCCTGGAACTGGAGTTACAGATGGTTGCAAGCTGCCTTGTGGATGCTGGGAAACAAACCTGGGTCCTCTGCATGACTAGCAAATGCTCTTAATTGTTTAGCTATATCCCCAGTGTCCCAGATTTATTTTTTAAGGTTCAATTAAAACATTTGCCTTTCTGAGACATAGGTCCTATTTCTTAGGATCTGTATATCCCTATAAAATTAAATTCTTTGGCTCACTCATTTATCAAAGGCTTACATACCTTGCACTTCATACACAATGTTTTTACCTAAAAACATAACACTTTCACATGGTTAGATATTGTAGACTAAATTCGTCACACCTATTCAAGGTATATTCTTGGTAAGAAAGCACAAGAAGTAAGATGGATAAACAAAACACATGCTTTGTTGAACGGGAGTATCTTAGGATAAATAAATCTTGGGAAGTTTTAGACAATACTAGAGCAGCATGTGGGTTTCTCAGAATATGAAATACTTGGGCAGCTCTCTGAAGATGGTGAAGGGATGAGTTGTGGAGATATGAAGGAAGAAATCAAAAGCCTTAAGTTTGGTATGAGCAGCAGCAAAGCAGTAGAAATAAAAGCCAGAGAACAAAAAAAAAATCAAATTTCTGTGGGATTTTCAGGTCTCATAAAACAAAACAAAACCAACCAACCAACCCTTAGGATAACCCTGAATGAGATGGAAAAATGATGACAGTAGATGAATAGCATGATTTGATTCTCATGTATCAGAAAGATTTTGGTTACTGCATAGAGAACAATAAGAAAGAAATAGCTGGGACCAGAGTGGTTATAGTGGAGTTGTGAGAACAGCAGGCTTCTGGGTATCTCTTAAAGCAGAGACAATAGGATATGCTAGGAGAGAGAGAGAGAGAGAGAGAGAGAGAGAGAGAGAGAGAGAGAGAGAAGAGAGAC